TTATTCAGTGTCATACCAATCAAACTACCAAAAAATTATTTTTTAGAGCTAGAAAAAATAATAATAAAATTCATCTGGAAGAACAAAGGTCAAGGATATCAAAGGATTCGATGAAAAAAAATGTGAAGGAAGGTGGTCTAGTTGTACTGGAAAACAATCTGGTACTGGTTAAGAAATAGAATAGTGGATCAGTGGAATAGATTAGGTATACAATACACAGTAGTAAATGACTATAGTAATCTAGTATATGATAAACCCCCAAATTTAAGCTTTTGGAACAAAAAAATCATTATCTGACAAAAACTGCTGGGAAAATTGGAAAACAGTATGGCAGAAACTAGGTATAGACCAACATTTCATACCATATACCAAGTTAAGGTCAAAGAGGGTACATGATTTACACATAAAGGATGATACCATAAGCAAATTAGGAGAGCATGAAATAGTTTATTTGGCATATTTATAAATAAGGGAAGAATTTAGGACCAAAGAAAATATAGAGAGCATTACAAAATATAAAATAGATCATTTTGATCATATAAAATTAAAAAGCTTTTGCACAAACAAAACTAATGAAACTGAAATTAAAAGGAAAGCAAAAAAATGGGAAAAAAATTTTTTGCAACAAGTATCTCTGATAAAGGCCACATTTTTCCCTTGTTTATCCCTCTCTCTCTTATTCCCACCCTGTTCCTCTTCACAAGTATTTTACTTCTGATCACCACCTCCCCCAATCCATCATCCCTTCTATCAGTCCCCCCTTTCATGATCCCCATCCCTTTTTACTTCCTTATAGGGCAAGATAGATTTCTGTATCCAACTGAGTGTGTATGTTATTCCCTCTTTGCATCAGTTCTGAGGAGAGTAGGGTTCAAGCTTTGCCTGCCACCCCTCCCCCAATCTTCCCCTCCATTATAATAGTTTTTTCATGCCTCTTTTATGTGAGATAATTTACCCCATTCTATCTCCCCCCTTCTTCTTCCAGTGGAATCTTCTTTCTCACCCTTTTTGTTTTTTGGGGTATCATCCCATCAAACTTACCTTATATCAAAGCATCACCTTTCTTGATGCCCCTAGCTGTTAATACCCTCTCCTCATCACCTTGCATCAACTTTATCTAAATTTTCTATCTCCCTATATAGGTACATATTGTCTCCCCAAATAATATGTGAGTTCCTTCAGGGAAGGTATGGTTTCATTTTGTCTTTATATTCTCAGAATCTAGCAGAGCACCTGGCACATAATAGATGACAACACAATAAAAATACATGCTTATTTATTTATTGGTTATTATGTTCATATGAGAGCCTTCAAAATATAGGCAAATGTCTACAATACCTATATACCTAACACCTACAAATGATTGCTGTCTAATATACTTAGGAATATGTTTTGAGTGACTGACAAGACACTAAGAGTCTGTTGCCAGCAGGCAACTGGCATCAAGTTATCATCTGGCCTGCTGGAAAGATGGCACATTTTTACTTTGAAAGTTTTTCTCTACATTATAATTGCTTAAATATGACTTGACTTTGACAGGAAGAAAGTAACTCTTTGAAAGCAGCATGCCTCAGAGCTTCATTAAAGCTACCAAAGAGCATGCCAGTCAACGACATGATGTAATCTAACAGACAGAGCATCAGAGAAGGAAATACACCACCCCACTACTGAAGAAATATAAATAATAAAATTATTAGACAGAATAAAAGGAAAGCAGGAAGGAAGAACTGAGGGAGAGGCTTGCTTCTGAAATCATCTCACTGGGTGTACCTGGCATGTCACTTCATTCTCTCAGCCTCAGTTTCCTCAACTGTCAAGTGGTGATAATAATTCCTCTTGCATTTGCCTCAAAGTTTCAACAGAGTTAATGGATGCAAATGAACTATGCAAATGAAAGTATTCTTTAAAATGTGCCCTATCTCTTCAACACTGTGCAAAGTAAGGGAATGTGTCATAATTCCATACACCTTTCTTTTGGAAACAATAATTCTCATTTATAACCACTAGATTCTTCCTCTCCCCCCCATTATATCATATCCATTTTGTATATGCTCCTATTCATACACATTGTCTCCTTCAGTAAAATGCAAGTTTTTTGAAGGCAGGGACTGTTTCATTTCTATCTCTGTATGGCCATATACAAGCACAGAACCTAACACAGAGTAGGTGCTACATAAATGCTTGTTGATTAATATAATAGCAATAATAACATCTAGCATTTATGTAACATTTTATGGTTTGCAAAGTACTATATATGTGTATACATGTATGTCTACATATACACATATATGCCCTTTTATATATTTATATATAAATATATGATGCTTATATATTTATATATAAACATATATTGTATGTAAAGTGCTTACATGTAATATATACATACATGTGTATATATATATATATATATGTATATATTCTGATCCTCACAACCCTGGGAGGCAGGTGCTATCATTATCCTCATTGTATCAGTGAGGAAACTGAGGCTTAGAGAGGTCATATGATTTGCTGCAAGGTCTCAGAACTAGTAAGTGTTGGAAGCAAGATTTGAACTCAGGTCTTCCTGATTCCAATACTCTTTGAATTTATCACACTAGAGTCAAAGAACTGCTTTCAAATTAATTTCAGCTTAGGCTGGGTTATAATTGACTTCTGGGAAGGTGTTGGCTTTACTGTCTTTAAAATAATCCCTCAACAACTCCTTCATAAGAAGAATCCTTTCATTTGTTCCGAATCTCAGCATGGTTCTTTGGCACAGCCACATACCTCAGTTTCCTGAGGAAGGCTGGCCGCCCTAGTAGCTGCTCATCCCACAGATATTCTGGGGAAAGGACTTTGGTGGGTTTGTGAAGAAACAGATATTTGTTTAAATAGCTCTCATCATGCCACACTGCCTCAATGCCATTGCTCTTGTCTATCGACATAGCCTCGTGACAAGCTTTGGTCATTTCATAAACCTGTTGTACTTTGCCCCCAAAAAAGCCGCCAGCATAGTAAAAATCACCCTTGCCCTTGGGAATGTAGGCTTGGGATTGAGGCCGGCGTTCATAACTAAAGGACTTTTGTTGAGCTCCATAGAAGCCAGGGTGAAGGGTGCCAAACAAGTTGGAAAGGATCTCTACCCCAAGGTGATCACTAAACTTCATGTCTACGTCCATACATGCAAGGTAGTCTACCTCCTGGAAGAAGTGCTGATGACAAAAATTGCTAATCATTTCCATCCGGTGCATGGAGATATCTTGCCACCGGGCATAGTTCTGGACCACCAATGTAATGACCTTCCTTCCTTCTTGGAGAGGAATTTTTGGAACATCAGCTGGCCGGTCAGTGAACACATAGTAATTCACTTTGTATCCCACCATGAAGTACTTCTCTGCAGTTTCGAGAAACAGTTTCAAGAAGACCACATACCTAAGGGCAATAATTCCCCAGCAAATAAGAGAAAAGTATTAATTCCACAGGAATATCATAAAATACTTTTAAAACAGTTACCACTGTGCTGAGAACTATGGAAAACAAATAGTACCTGCCCTCATGGAGTCCACAATATAGTGTTTGTGTCTGTATGTCAAAAGATTATCATATAATACAATACAGAATTAGGGATGAAAATCATTTCAGTGTAGCATTAAAGACAGAACATTCAACTTGCAATGAGAAAGAGGGCTTAGAGCTTTTAGCCAAACTAACAGCTTGGAAGACAGAACCAGAAGCAATGCATGGAAATTCTCCCACAAAGACGAGAATTTAGATTTGATGTTGAGAAAACTTTCTGGCATGTAGACCTGTCTAAAAGTGGAATGAGGCATCTCAGATACTCCCCACTCCCCAGCTCAGTCCCTTATTGGAGGTCTTCAGTCAGAGGCCAAGTTAGCACTTGGCAGGTATTTTGTAGAGGGGATTCCTTATGGGATAGGGTTGTACTAGAAGGCTTCTGAGGGCCCTTCCAACTCTCACATTCAGTGATTCTTAGAAGAAAAGAGTCAAATCCTTCCTCACATTTTTACCAGGTATGTAGCCACAAAGAAATCATTGAACAGTTCTGAGTTTTTACATCTGTAAAATGACTTACAATCATCTATATCTATAAAATTATCTGAGAAATCAACCTTTAAGGATAAAGGTTATCAGGACACTCAAATATGATAATGTATGCAAATTACCTTCTAATTCTGAAAGCATTATGGGAAGGTCAGCTATTATTATTAATAGAGTTACTAATTGGGTTCTAATTGAGTTCAAATCTGGCCTCAGACATTTACTAGCTGTGTGACTCTGGGCAAGTCACTTAACCCTGTTTGCCTCAGTTTCCTCATCTATAAAATGAGCTGAAGAAGGAAATGGCAAACCACTACAGTGTCTTTGCCAAGAAAACCCCAAATGGGATCAGGGAGAGTCAAACACGACTAAAAAACAACTGCACAACAACAATAAAAATTAAGATCTAAAGAGGGGGTCAAGAGCATTATAATCTAATTGGAAAGATCAGGGAAGACTTTGTAGAATTGGTGGTATTTAAGATGAGCCTTAAAAGATGAGTAAAATTTTATCAGGCAGATATGGAAGGAGGGCATTCCATGCATAGGGAACAGTATAAGCAAAGGAACAGAGAAGCAAGAATAAATAAAATCTAACAATAGCAGTATGGGACAATTACTTGCTCAAACAATAATTCAGCTGACTCTCTTAGGGATACAATCACAATGCCCCCAGAGGAACGTATGATGTAACATCCAAAGGAGTAGGTCTCTTTTGTACTGTCAAGAAGGGAGGGAAAAAAAAAAATTGGATTACTTAGTAGAAGACATCATGCCATTTATTCAGTAAGTAGTAGGATTTGAAGCAGGAGCCTGGGGTTGCAAGACCTTACTGTGCCACTAAATAGCTACGCAATTATGATCACTTTGCTCTCTGAGGCTGTTTCTTCCTCTGTAGGATACCATCAACTTATATTTATACAGAAATTTAAGGTTTACAGATCAAGTTCTTTACAATTATGAAAGGTAGATAGTAAAAGTATTATGATCGCCCCAGTTTTACAGATAAGGAAACACAAGTTCAAGAGTGGTTTGGTAATGCAGACATGCTCACTCAGATTATGGATATTAGAGAGGAATTTGAGGTTTTTTGTGGTCAGCTGACTACACTGGATCAAGGTGTTAGATCTGAAGAGGCACTGAGAAAAGGGTTTTCTTATTACCTTGTCTTACTATAAGTGATTCCTTTTCAGGCAAAATTAGCAGAAGTACATATTTCAGTTGAGTTCTTTCCAACATGCACCCCCCTCCTCCTCCAAGTCCTTTCTCTGCTCCATTCCCAAAGCAAATGCTAGCTAAAGAAATGTTCCTGATCCTGCTCTGGATCAATTACAGAGAAAAAAAAAATGATGTCCTATCTGGCTTGCAAGGCCAGTTACAAACAGCTTCAAAGATGAGTGATTTCTCTTAGAGAATAAAAAGCCCAAATAAGCAGAGTTTGGGGAAATTCTTCCTATACCTATGATAGCTCATGCTTCAAAATAAAGCTTCTCTTGACCTGTACCCTAAGTTGAGAGCTGAAGGCCAGGACTGAATTTGTATAGGATGTCAACCACAGAGAAGCTTGAGGAGAGGTGAGCTGGAGGCAGCTCCTACAGCTCCTTAGAGCCAATTGTTAAATTTTTGGGTGAGCATTTATACCTCAGAAATCAGTAAATACTATAAATCAGGGGTTGATTTATTGTTTGTTGATGGCTGAGACTTAAGAAAGTGATGGAGAAAATATGAATGATGCAGATTAAACATTTTACCAGCACGCTCCTGAGTTGTACATTCCATACCTGTCCAAAGACATCTAGATTCCTCTTTTTTTGTTGTGGGAGACAGGGGGGTGTGGGTGGAGTGAAGCAGGTTTGGACAAGTCAGAGAATCTTTTATTTCTGTTCCATTATGTATGATTCCCAGAGGTAAAATTCTGTATGGAATATCTGTTTAATCACATCCATTCAACAAAACACATCAGGCTCACAAGAAAAGAGGCTTGCTGTTAGAGGGACTGTCTGAGTCAACTATATTGTCTGTTCACTTGTAGTGAGTGTCTCTTAAAAAGGATCCCTAACAGGCCTGGAGAGCTTCTAAAGGCTCACCTCCTCCAAGGGAACTCCATCAGCACTACTCAATAACCTGAAACAAGTGTCTGAAGACTCCTGGGGTATGTGTGATGTATGATCATTTCTGATCATCTCCACTGTCTGTTTCTGTCACCCCACCTCTCTTTTGGTGCTTCTAGAATTCATGACCTTTTCTCCAGGCTCCAACTCCCAGAAGTCTTACGAATGGTCACGCGGCTTGTTCACAAGAGGTAATGGGGACACCCTAAAAAAGCCTCGCCTGGTCATTCTCACTTGTTTACAATGGGGACAGGTCATCTAATCTGACTCTCTATTGAGCAGAGTTGTCCTGTGGGCAGGCCTGATGACCTGGCTTCAGGAGGGTACATTCCAGTTCTTGCCTAAAGGAACTCTAGCATATGTATTTTCACTATTCGCTCCAAACCTGTAAATCTTCTAGATAGATAGAGCTGGTATACTATGGGTGACTCCACTAAAGAAATAAGAAACATTTCTGGTGCACTTAAGAAGAAAAAGACAAATATTTGGAGCCTGCAGTGCTATATTAAAACAAGAGAGAAAAGGAGGAAAATTGGAACCTCTCTGACTGGCACACTGGGGCGGTAAAAGGATACCAAGATTTTGCCTTCAAAGTCTTGGTATTTTTGTATTGAATGAATTGTGTCAATACTGGAAAACTGTTCATTTATGTGTGATTAGATCTTTTAAGAGGAGGTCAACCCACCCTTAATTAATTGGTTGAAAACTCAGTTTCATGATGAATAGGAAGGTCCTAAAAATATCTGATATTTGTTGTTGTTGTTTAGTCATTTTCAGTGGTGTCTGACTCTTTATGAACCCTTTTTTGGAATTTTCTTGGCAAAGATATTGGGGTGGTTTGCCACTCCAGTTCATTTTATGAGAAATTGAGGTAAACAGGGTTAAACCTCTTGCCCAGGGTCACACAGCTAGTAAGAGTCTGAGGTCAAATTTGAACTCAGCTCTTCCTGACTCCAGGCCTAGCCTTCTATCCACTGTACCACCTAGCTGCCTATTAAGGTATCTGAGTCTTTATTTAATCCTTTTTTATTTTGATCTGAACTATAAAAGTAAAAAGAAGAGATAATAGGATTCCTAAGATTTATTGCATTGAAAATAAAGAGGCTAAATTTATGACTCCTTGACAAATTAGGCATGATTTCCTGAATATGGAATCATAAATTATAACACAAACAAAACTGCTTGAAATTTCTCTGAATTTACTGTGGATTGTCAAATTGGAATTAAATTTGAATACTTATTATCAGTCCTAGTGTAGACTGAGTCCTCCAACAAAAAAGTTGTTTTACTTCTGCTTCATTTACTTCCAATCATTCCCTCAGCTGGCTATCCAGTTGAGATCATTTTCATGATCCTATAATGATTTCTATGCCATGCGTATAAAGGGCCTAGCCCAGTTTTGGCATTTGTTTATTTTTAATCACTTAGAAACCTATATCCTTCTGATGGGGTGCTTGGGTGTTTATGTTTGGGTGCTTGTACTTAGACCCCAATTTCTCCCTAGCCTCAGAAACACTATCTCTGACAATTTCTCCCCAGCCCAAGGACACTGTGCCTAGCAATTACTCATGAGTGCGCCCCAGCAATACTCTTATCTCTCTCCTTGGTACAGTAACAAACAGTACCTGAAGGAATTACTAGTTTTAACTGACTTTACACTGAGTCATAAAGATATCTTACCCACTGGACTATCTATACTACCGCCCTACCTCATTATCTACATCCTGGACTCCTCATTATCTGTATTCTAGACCTAAGGTATATGTGTATTCCCTACATCTATTTTGTCAAACAAGACATTGACTGGAGGCAGACTGGACACCTCTCAGTTACCCCTGACCACTAGTTAACCTAGTGACATAGCAGGCCTAAAACCACACCTCCGTGTGGCCCCCCTTGTGGGCTTTTCCCAGTGAACTCTGGGTAAAACGTCTGCGCAGTAGATACAAGAAGTGCATGTTCCTTTAACAAATGACCACTCCTTAACCACTCCCTAATCCTGTCCTGAATCACCTAGTTAGCATATTTGACACATGTTTTATTATACTTTATACTATACAAACTTTAACTATATTCCTTTAAGGTTGCAGGATCCTTAAGAATCCTTGCCTGCTGAAAAGCATAACAATAAACTTTTTGCAACTTGACTTAAAGATTGCTTGAGTTTGTGAATTCATTCAGTCTTTGAGGGGTCCCAACCTCTCAGACCTCAACATTTCTACCATGATCATATTGGGAGTTCGGGGAGTTCTGTTTTTGACTCCAACACCTGAGTTCAGCCCCTCAAAGGATCATCATAGACTTCATTCTCCTACGTCCTAAAGACTATTGTGCCTGAGTCTCCCTGACAGCCTCCATTGTAGAATTCTTTACCTGTCCTTCCCTGTTTAGTTCTGAAGGTGTCAGTTGCCACTCAAGGTGGGATACTGACTAAGCTCTTTTTCTTGTTGTCCTGACTCCCCACAGTGTTCCCAGCCTTGGAGGTCTCCAATAAAGTCACAACATTCCAATTAAAGGACCATTGCTTTGTATTACTGAACCCGCAGATTCTTCTGTGAAGCCTCCATTCAGACTCAGCAACAGACCACTTCAGAAGCCTGATGCAGGGCCACTTCCAATCCTATCATGTAGGTGATTGCTCCACCTCCACTAAAGGACAGCCTTCCCTGGAACCACAGAACATTAATGCCATCCTCAAGCTTGCTCCAGATGTATGAAAACAAAAACAAAAACAAAAACATGACCAATATGGTTGGAACCAATATAGTTGAAAACAAAAGATGCATTTCCTTCTATACTGTGAAGTAATGTCCTTCTCCTCCCCCAATTACATAGGCCCTTCAGAACCCAGTACCTACTTTTTGATTGCAAATACTGTCAATCCAATGGTGATATTCCTGTCCTGGAACTGCTCTTTCAGGATATCCTTATCAAAAGTTCCATCCCAAACAATGGGTGCAAGCCAAGGAGTCAGGAGAGGGACATCAATGCGCCTATGGAACACAGAATCACAAGACTTTATTGGGGCTGAGAATTTTAGATAGCCCTTAGCTCAACCCCTTCCTTTTTTTATTTTCATATAAGCAATGGGTTAAGTGACTTGCCCAGTGTTATGTGTTTGAGGCCAGATTTGAACTCAGGTCCTCCTGAATCCAGCACCGGTGCTCTATCACTGTGCCACCTAGCTGCCCTGCATCCCTCTCCTTTTTGAGAGGAGGAAATTGAGGCCCAGACAGGGAAAGAGATTTGCCCAATTACAGGCAACTAGGTGATGTAATAGAAAGACTGTTGGGCCTGGAATCAGGAAGACCTCATCTCAAATCCAGCTTCAGTCAATTATTGACTGTGTCACCCTGGGCAAGTGCCTCAGTTTCTTCAACTGAAAGTTGAGATAATAACACCATCTAGCTCTAAAGGTTTTGGTGAGGATCAAATGAGATTATGTTGATAAAGTACGTAGCAGTGTCTGGCCCATAGTAGGTGCTTAATAAATTCCCTTTCCCCTTCCTGTACTGATGATGATAGTTTGCATGCACATAAGATTCTCTATTATCTCATTTGAGTCTCACAACAAAGGTAGGTACTATCATTATCCCCATTTTACAATAAGCTAAGACCAAGAGAGTTTAAGGGATTTATCCATCTAAGAGTGATATCACTAGGAAGTGAATGAAGCAGAATCTGAACCCAGGTCTTCATGGCTCTAAGTCATGGACCAGGGCTGTAACTCTTCTTCTAATCTCAGGTCCTTGCAGCCTAGTCTCAAATTCTATTCTCTATATTCCACTCCAAGGCTTTTCCTCCTTATCCATGTGTGGGGGAAATGATTTATATATTGTTTGGGAAAAATTATTATATTGTTGAAATCCAACTTCATGTGATTAAAGGTTTATCCACACCCTGACCTCAGTAATTCCAGGAAAGCTAAGGATGGCTACAAGGTATTTTGGGATCCTCCCAGGTTCTGGATTTACCCAAAGCATTCTTGTTTTAGGTTCCCACAACCAGGATTCATTTTAGATCTACCCAAGCTGGTGTTTTGGGTTCCCTCGTGTTTTGGCTTTACCCAAATTCTATTGAATGTTTTCAGTTTGTTGTTCAATCTTTTTTCAGTCGTGTCCAACTCTTCGTGACCTCATTTGGGGTTTTCTTGACAAAGATACTGAGGTGGTTTGCTATTTCTTTCTCCAGCTCATTTTACAGATGAGAAAACTGAGGCAAAAAAAGATAAGTGACTTGCCCAGAATTACACGGCTAGTGTCTGGGGCCAGATTTGAACTCAGGAAGAGGAGTCTTCCTAACCCCAGGCCCCACACTCTATATAAGGCACACCTAGCTGCCTGAATCGAATATTTATATTGACTCATATCCATCTCAATATACCTTGCCCTTTCTGCAACTTTGCCTAACTTTGTACATATGTCATTCCAGTGGGGCCACCCTTGTCTAAAATGTTATAATGTCAACCTTCCAGAGCTTGGATGGGGGAGAGACACACCTCCTTCCCAGCTCACTGTCCTCTACCAAACTACCTAATAAATTCCTTTGTAAAACCATTTCAGATTTTAGGGTTTGTTCTTAGGAACGACACATCCATCTATCCTCCTAGCCACTGATTCAATGAACAATTTTTAAGCATTCACTATGTACTAAACATTGTGCTAAACATTAGAGGTACAAAGAGAAAACCAAAACAGGTCCTATCCTTAAATACTGACTACTGTGGGGATTTCTTAATCGGTCTACCTCTCAAGTCTTCCCTCTCCACAATTTATCCTCCACACAGCTGCCTAAGTGATCTTCCTCAATTATAAATTTGGACATGTCCCTTTCCTACATGATACTCCCCGATGGCTCCCTATTACCTTTAGTATCAAATGTAAACCTTGTCATTTAAAAACTTTTACCTGCTAACTCCAAACTACCATTCTAGCCTCATTGTGCATAACTCATCTTAATGAACTCCAAAATACTGCTAAACTGGCCTCCTCACTGTTCTTCACACATAACATGCCACTTCTCATCTCTATGCCTTTGCACAGGCTGTATCTCATGCCTGGAATGCACTCTCTCCTCACCTCTGACCCTTAGAATTTCTTATTTCCTTCAAGTGCTACTTTCTATGGGAGAGCTTTCCTGATCATGCCTATTGCTGGTGCTTGCTCCACTAGTATTTATTTTGAATATTTTAAAATATTATGTATATGTAAGTAATTATATATACACATATTTATTTATATCCTTGTTGTCTTCCTCAACAAGAATATAAACTATTTGATTTCTCACTTTGTTTCCCTAGTGCTTGGCATATAGTAAGTACCTAATAAAACTAATGAGAAGAGATCATTTGATTTTATTCAATTAACATATTTTGAAAAAAAATACATCATACCCATGATATTGCAAGAAATTTAGCCAGAAATTCAGCTTCTGTTTAAAATTTCTAATGGGATACAAAGTAAACCTCGAAATATCATTAGTTAATATATGATTGAGATGGGGAAATCAGAATATTCCTTATTCCCCTGTGATGTGGAATCAGTGAAAATGCAGTCAGTGGTGCAAAAGAAGGCCAGGAAGGTTATGCCATAAAGACAGAGCTGGGTCTTAGTAAGAGCCAGAAAACTGAAGGAATAGGAAAAGAAAAGATTTAAGATGAAAACAAATTTGTTGCCTACCGAATTGGCATTCCAAAGGGCACAGTAGCTTTAGAGTAAGATTTTGAGGAGGGTAGGTTGAAGGAAATGGGAATATGGGATCAGGCAATGGGGAATAAGAAATAGGATTTGAATGATGACCACTGGGAGTTCAGAATCACTGGAAGAGTGACATATAACCGGTAGGGATTTTAGGATCATACTTGGTCATTATACTTTTGCAACATTCAGCTTCAATTGTTTTATTCTTGTTCTTTCTATTTATATCATTGTGTATACAGTTTTCTTGGTTCTGTTTATGTCATTTTATATCAGTTCATAAAAGCCTTCCTATGCTTTTATACATTTCAAAATTTTATAATATATTTATATATTTCACAATTTATTATAACACATGAATATTCTATTATCCACATGTACCTCAACTGGTTTAGCCATTCCCCAATCAATTGGAATCTACTTTGTTTTTAGTTTTTGCTATGACAAAAAAATGTTGCTATAAATATTTTGATGTATATGGGGCCTTTTCTTTGACTATTGACTTCCTTGGGGTATATGCTTAGCAGTGAGATCTCTGAGTCAAAGGATATGGACATTTAAGTCACTTTCTTCACATAATTATTCATTGTTTTCCATATTTTTGAGCTAATTCACAGCTCCACCACTAGTACACTAGTATTCCTTTCTTTCCACAACCCCTCCAACATTGACTATTCCCATGTTTTACCATCCTGATCAATCTGTTGAATGTGAGTTAAAATCTTGGCGTTTCAAAAAAAATTGGTTTTGCTTATTATTAGTATTTGAAGCAATATTTTATATTGTGGTTAATAGTTTATGGTTGTAAAAACCATCTGTTCATATCGTTTCACCATTTATCTATTGGGGAACAGCTTTTGAGCTTATGTGCTGCTAAGAGTTGCCTATATGATTTAGATATCAGACCTTTCTCATAGATTTTTGATACCAATTTTTTTGCAGTTGACTACTTCTTTTTTTCCTCCTACATTTATTATCTTCATACAAAAACTGTTTAATTTCATGTAACCAAAAATTTATTTTATCTTTTAAAATTTCCTTAATTTTTTGTTTGGTTAAGAACTCACTCCCTAGCCATAACTGTAAAAGATACTTTATCTGATTCTTTTTTAATTGATTATAGTATAACATTTAAGGCTTTCTCATATGCAATAAACAAACACCAGAAGCTTTTCCAATAACTACAAGAGTAAAGCAAAGATGCTCACATTCTTAGATGTTATAAGACATAGTCTAGAAATGATAGCAATAAATGAGAGTAAGAAATTAAAGGCATGAAGATAGATAAAGAGGAAATGAAACTATCTCAATTTAGTGATGATACCATGGTTTATTTAGAAAATTCTAGGGGCAACTAGGTGGTGCAGTGGATAGAACACCAGCCCTGAAGTCAAGAGGACCTGAGTTCAAATCCAGCCTCAGACTAAACACTTGACACTTACTAGCTGTATGACCCTGGGCAAGTCACTTAACCCCAATTGCTTAAAAAAAGAAAAAAAAAAGAAAAGAAAAAAAAGAATAGAAAATTCTAGTGAATCAGCAAAGAAACTAATAACATATATTAGGGCATAAATACCTTAAAACAAATGCAGAAAAGTAGGAATAGTAAATAGACCTTTTACTGATCATAATGTAATAATCAATAGCATAAGCAAAGTAACACATTAAAAAACAAACCCACAAAAATCAATGGCATTTCTATATAAGAACAGCAAAACCCAAGAGGAAATAATAGGAATATCATACTCAAAATAACCGCAAAATGCATAGAATCAATCTACCAAAGTATACTTAGCACATGTATAAAAACAAGTATAAAAATGATCCTTCAAAAATAAAGAACTTAAATAATTATGGAATATTCATTGCTCATAGTTGAGCAATGCCAATATGATTAACAATGATAATGCTACTAAAACTAATTTTTAGATTTAGTCCTATATCAATCAAACTGCCAGAGAGATATTTCACAAAGAAAAACAAAATAATGACAAAATTGATTTGGAGGAAGAAGAAGATCTAGAATATTCAGAAATATAATGAGGGGAAATAGGAAAGAGGAATACCACTTCCAGATCTCAAAATATATTACAAAGTAGTAGTCAGTGAGAATATCTGGTATGAGTTAAAGAACAGAAAAGCAGATCAATGAAACAAATTAGATAAGGAGGAATGAGAAATAATGATATTCAATAACCCAGTTTTTAATAAATCCCAGAAACATAAACTACCTTGGAACAAACTTCCTATTTGAAAACAATTGCTGGAAAAACTGTAAAGAAGTCTGACAGAAACTAGGTTGAGGCCAACAACTTATACTATATTCCACAATAAATTCAGTATGGATATATGACATGAATATCAAAGATCATACAATTTACAAAATCAGAAGACTACCTTTGCGATTTAGTTTGAGGTTCAGCCTTGGACTTTTTTTGGTGTTGGACACAGGGTTGAACTGTAGGGTGATCTTGGTGTTGGATATGAATGCTCCTGAAGGAATGAGTTAACAAGGTTAAGCTGACTAAAAAATACATCTGACAGAATATATTCCAGGAATTAGTCAGATGTCCAAAGACTGATTCCATGCAATCATTAGGGACAAGAAAGTATTTGAAGGCATCTAGTCCATAGTGTAGACAACTTCAAATGCAAGTATGAGATGTGGGCTTATTCTAATGAGGGACTTGGGGGTATGTGACTTGGATCACCCAAGCCTTGGTCAAAGAGACTTATCAAGCTCCATATTACCTGTCTGACCAAAGGGAGAATCCACATTTTCCCAGACCTGTCTGAGTAAACACAATGAGCAGGAATCCATCCATTCTCCTAAACTTAGAATTTCTTTTGTGATCTTTCATTAGATCTTAGCCAGGGTGAGGCTTTGAGCAAGATTTCCCACACTGGTTGATTTCTGGATGAGGAAGCAGAAAAGGGGAAAACCTTGATCCTAATTCAATAATTAGTCATTAATATGTGAAAGAAATAATCATTTCCCTAATAGATAATCCCTTAGCAAGTCTAATTTTAAAAAAGAAAGAAAAAAATTACTAGTATCAAAAATGAAAAAAATCAGGGATAAAGCAAGAATGTCCATTATCACCATTACTGATCAATATAGTGCTAGATGTAAGAGGTATAACAATAAGAAAAAGAAATTGAAGAAATAAGCATAGGCAAAAAAAAAAAGAAGCATAATTACCACATTTTGCAGATGACATGACAGTTTGTTTAAAAGAACACTAGAAAGTCATCTAAAAAGTTAATCTAAACAAATTATAACTTCAGCAAAGTTATAGGATATAAAATAACCCCCCACAAATCATCAACATTGCTATATATTACTAACAAAATTCAGCAGGAAGAGGTAGGAAGAAAAAATCCATTTAAAATGTAAAATACTTCAGGAGTATACCTACTAAGTCATGCATAGGAACTATATAACCACAATTACTAAACATTCTTCACACAAAGAGAAATCTAAATAATTGGAGAAATATTCATTGTTCATGGGTAGGCCAATCAAATATAATAAAAATGACAATAGTACCCAAGTCAATTTATGTATTTAGTACCATACCAATCAAAATACCAAAGGATTACTTTGCAGACTGGAAAAATTGTAGCAAAATTCATCTGAAGGAACAAAAGGTCAAGAATAGCAAGAGAATTAACAGAAAAAAAAGTAGAAGGAAAAGGAGATTAGGAATACCAGATCTCAAACTATATCACAAAGTCATAATTGTCAAAATATTTGGTACTGGATAAGAAACAGAAAGGTTGGTCAGTGGAATAGATAAGGTATAAAGAAGTAAAAGAGGTAGTGTTTGATAAAACCAAAGATTACTAGTATTGGTTCAAGAACTAATGATTCTACAAAAACTGTTGGGAAAATAGTAAAGTGGTCTGATAGAAATTAAGTCTAGTAGACCCACATTTCACACTATA